GATGTTTGACCAGCCTCGACCAAGCGCCATTGCGAGGAACTTACAAGGAGGCTGTGATGTGAATAGTGAGACGAAGTTTATGATGAGACTATGAGACGCGCAGCTAAGCCTGCAGCCTTTGTGGGCTTCTCAAGTAAGATACTACTGGCGCTGAGCCTGCTTTTTCCGCGAGCGTTGTTCGTCGCGATGGACGAGCGTGGAGACGGGGACATTGCTGTATGCGGATCAAGCGGCGTATGAACCAGGCGCGTAAGTATCAGACACGCATGCAAATAGCGTTTGCATCAGCGCTCGTCTGGCTGGTTCCATATTGACGGGTGGGGTGGGAGGGTGAGCTCGGGCAAGAAGCCAGCAACCGCCGCGACGCGTGTTCGGAGAAGCTTCGGGACGCATCGGGACGCGTGCGCCACAGCTTGAGCTTTCTCGGCGTATTGACTGAACGCCCGAAAACCTACACTGAAGTTGGGTCTCCTCCTTTGCATGTTTTTAATTCCATGTAGTCTCTAAGATCTTCTTGCGGCATGCGGAGGCTTGGCTGACCGCAGATAGATACGGAAAACGTGTTGGCAGAGGCTGCACGTCTCGAAAACTCGCAAACATCTTCCAAGACTGATTATCCAAAATTTCATACCCCTGGAAAAATGATCGTCGTAGTTGTCAACGGAAGAGCAGGGGTGCATTTTCGCTGCTGCTTCTAGCGCCACAGACAGAATTCCAGAAAACACAGTCGAATTTGTTATCATTTGAGTTTTACTAAAGTGATCCGGAGTTTAGCACGATACAACCCAATTGTTAGCAGACATCACTTTCGCAGGTAAGAGTCCGAAGACATGCGACGATCATGATATTCTCATTTCCATCGATCTAGATAAGTACTGTCGGTACTCGTATTACTTACTTCAAAGTACGCCGCCACCGTCATGACTTTTAAATCTAAATGTTAGTATGAATCATGAAGATACAAAACCTCGACCGCAACTCCGCGCTAGTATTACAACCATCAAAGGAATCAAATCGCCAACTCGTCAGATCATCTCATCGCAAACGCCATACTCAGCCACGACAGGCTTACGAACCGCCCCACCGCCCACCGCGCCCATCCCCAACACACAACTCTCCTCACCCAGTATCTCCGACAACTCCACATCGCCCTCTGCCAAACCCTGGACCGCCCGAACTAAGTCCTTCTCGACAAAGTTCTGGAAACGGTCGCGATTAGTGTCTACACCAGGACGGTGGAAGAAGAACTTGACCGCGGTGCCAAAGGCAAACCACTGATCAACCATGAACAGCATGGCCTCTTCTAGTTCACGGTCCTCGTAGATGTCCTGGAGACAGGGGCGGAGGAGGGAGCGGATACAGAGGTGGATCTCTTGGAGTGGGTTGGCGCCTTGGTTTTGGAAGTTGAGGAGTATGTCATGGAGGGCTGAGGGAGGGAGGTCTTCGAGAGAAAGGTAGATACGAACTACGTGAATGTCGCCGTCTAGAATGGTGGTGGGATCTTGGATCTTCTTGGTCGTCTGCTTGCCTGTCGCGTCGGTGGCGACAGAGGCGAAGACGAGGCCGGTGGGTGGGGATACGGCGGGCTGTTTTTGGACCGCTGGGGCGGCGGTCGGACTGGGGAGTTTTGCGCCTAGCGATAGAGAACTTGAACCAAACATGGGTGACGTCGGGGATTTGTTTGAGGAGGCAGGCGCAGGAGGACCCATACCACCCTGCAGGGCAGGGCCGAAGCCCCAGGTCGGGGAAGTGTTTGTGTTAGTAGTAGTAGTAGTGGCAGCGCCAAAGCCGAAGCGCGGCGGAGTAAGAAAAGAAGGCATTCTGTTGGTTAGTAGAGTCGATGGTCCTGTAGTTGAGGGAGTTGCAAGTGTTGCGATTGCTGTCGTTGAAACTGTTTGTCGCTGGGTGTGGGGGACCACGCACTTTTATACTTGCAGGGCGGGGACGCGCACAGACAATGTGCGTTTGCAGAAAGTGGTGAAAAGGTAAGAGTGAGTCAAAGGAGCGAGATCGGCGCTGTGGTAGAAGGCCCATGGTAGCGATGATCGCGACCAAAGTGTCGCCGCAAGTGAGCGAATCAGCAGCGCTAACTTGGAAAGATGGATTAGGTTGCACACTCAACTGCAAGATCAACAGAGAGTAAAGTAATGATAGCATAAGATCCATGTACTTGATTCATATAAAAAGAGAGTATGTACAGGAATAAAGGTAGTGAAATGAGTGTGAGCCCCATCGCCAATTTCGACACTTTCCAAGCACCCATGTGCTCTTCCAAAGTCCCAATTCCCACATTCCGCCTATCCCGTCAAATCCAATCAACAAGCGGCGATATCCGCAGGCGTATAAATGCAAGCCGAGCTAGGTCCCTCGCTGATCTGCTTAGGTTCAGCACCCGTGTCGTTACCCTCGAACTCCTCGCAAATAGCCTTTGTGCCCGTGACGCAAGAGTTGGTAATGGTAGCAGTATCGCCGTAGTTGGAGTTAATACCAACGAAAGTCGCTGTTCCGCCTGTAGCCTTGACTTTGTCGATCTTGACGTGGCGCTCGCCCATGGTCTTGCAGTTTCCGCATGATCGGTAGAGCTTGCCGAAGGTTGAGACCGTGAAGCCTGAGATTGAAATGGTGCCCACGCCGTTGTGTTGAATGACTTTGTCGGATGCGCCCATAGCTCCGCCACCGGTGACTGTGCCGTCGCCGTCCTTCTTGAAGGTAAGTGCGTCTTCACAAACGTCCTCCCACCAGACATTCTCGATGGTGCAGGCTCCTTGGCAGTGTACTCCCTCGATCTGATCGGCTCCGATGATGACGTTGCGGAGAGTGCCGCCGTTAGCAATAGAGAATACAGCATCGCTGTCTCCCCCTTCTGATTGACCGGTGCAAGACACTCCACGGCCGAAACGCTTCATGCCACCATCAAATTCGCCGGTTACCATCATGGTCTTCGAGAGGGTAGACTCGCCAGCTGCTGCAGGCATAGTACCGCTTGCTGCACTACCACCCGAGCTGGGCATAGTGGAGTTACCGGATCCAGTTTGACCGCCTGAGCCCGAGGAAGATCCACCGCCTGAGGAGGAGCCACCACCTGAGGAAGAGCTGCCGCCTGAGGACGAACCGCCGCCTGAGGATGAGTCGCTTCCCGAGGATGAGTCGCTACCCGAGGATGAGTCGCTTCCTGAGGATGATCCGCTGCCCTTGCCGCTTCCGCTGCTGGAGTCCGAGCCTGATCCCGAACTTGAACCGCTATCTCCACCAGAGCTTGAACCGGAGTCACCAGTCGCATCCTCAGTGCTGTCGCTAGCGTCATCGGAAGACTTGTCTTTATCGCTGGAAGAACCCTCGCTGCTGTCAGAAGAGCCAGAAGAGCCCTCTGACTTGTCTTTCTTGTCATCTTCGGAGTCGGAGGTATCGTCTTTGGAGTCAGATGAACCCCCTGCAGAGTCCTTGGAATCCGAGGCGTCCTTAGATTCTTCGTCGCTCGCTCTCCAAACCAGACCGAAGGGTGAACGCTTCGTAACAGTAGGTTCAGACTCAACAGATCTCCGCTCGTAGTCGTTGCCGGGGGTAAAAGTAGGAGCACCCGTCATCTGAGGGTCGGACGGCTGACCGCCAAAGCCTGGGAAGCCGCCCGTGGGAGCAGCACCACCTCCAGGAAAGTAACCGGGGTCACCACCATTGCGTTGGCCACCTCGTCCTGAGCCACCACCCATTCCCATTCCAGAGCCGATGGAATCAGAGCCAGGACCGCTGGACTCGGTGCCGTTGCGTTGACCGCCGCCGTGTTTGCCGCGATGGCCACCACGATGGCCATGAGCCTTTGTAGGAGCGGGGCCTCGAGCCGAAAGTTCCGTCGGTTTAGCAGGGGCAGGAGCAGGTGCCGCGGAGACAGAGACAATCAGGGCAGCAGCCGCGATGGTAGTAAGAGAGAAACGCATGTTTTGTTGGTTTTCCGGGTGATTTGAAGTGAAAGTAGGGGAACGAAGGTATTGCACAGCAAAGATGACACAGTCAAGAAAAGAAGGGTGACCGGCACTGAGCTGGAGAAGAGAATGTGGAAAAGGGAAGGTGTTGGAAGCAAGGAAGAGATCGTTGGTCCTGATGAGGATGAGGATTTTGCAGTGGGCGGGCTGCGAACATCTTTATAGCCATTGTGTTAGGAATACGTACTGTTGGTTTACTGAACATGCGTGTCGGTGGTATACGACGACGTCCCACACCACCCGCACCCCAAACCTCCAAGCGCATGATGCCTATCGTCGGTTATACCACGGGTACTATGCACTCAATGCGATGACTGAGTAGGCCCGAACACACGTGCAGTCGTGAATCGAGGAAACGTGGAAACAGGCCTGGTATCCTGGAAAAAAGACTGTGTTTGGTTTGCGCGTCCCGTTGACGAAACCGATCGTCCGACAGCTGACAATCTATGAGAGGGATGTGTCAGGTTTCATGTTGAGGATGTCGGTCTTGGCAGCAGTGACAGCCATGTAGGGTGAAGCTACTAGTGAAGATGCAGAAACGTCCCGCTTGTCAGTTGGTAGTCTAGAAGTTCCGGAAGTTTGGAGTTTCGTGTCGCGCGTTTCACTTACTCGACAGAACGAATGCAGATTGGATGGACTGACCACCAAGAATGTAGTATTCGCTATCATGCAGCGCAATACAAATTAGTGAAATAAGTGACATTAGCGAGGTCTGCATCGCCTACATTCGCGCTGCTTCTTTAGGGTCTGGCCTTGTCCCTATAACGATCTTGCTTTCCCAACCCAATCTTTGCGAATATCTTCCAATCTAAGGAACCGAGTGCGCGGTATATGCGAGGTGGCTCGGGTTCTCCAGTACTATCTACCACGGTGGCCAAGTTGTCTTTCATGTACACTCGAAGTTCGTCTTTGAGACGCGAGGGTGTAAGCCGTGAGTGGTATATCGTGCTCAGGCCTTGAGCCTGCATGCGTGGGATATGTCCATCTAGTCGGTTAGCACTGTGTATATGTGGATTGCATGTTTCAATCTGCAAGATGTGCACTGGTCTTGAGGACGGGCGGTTTGAAACTCCAAAGCGTTCCCACAAGTCGATCAGCTGGAATGGCTCGACAGCATAACCAGTAGCGAATCGTAGCTTCAGGGCCAGCTCAACATCCATAGCGTGTTCACCGGCGTTACCGGTTCCGATCATGGTTCTTGGGGTAGCGTCACCTCCGAGGACTTTCAGAAGGCGGTTCATCCATTCGTTCACGACACGCGAGGAGCGTCCAAACTCTTCAAACTCGAGCTCGCCGTTCCTGACTTTTGGCTTTGACTTCCATTTGATACGCACCATGGCATGCTGATTTTGTCCGGTATCTCTGTTGTGATACAATGCCCAATGTAACCCAGCGGCGTATACTTTGCAGTACTCGAGGACGGATCCGGGAATCCGGTTGTCAGCATCAATGAAGCCGACGAACTTACGTCCAACAAGCTTCGTGATGATCACACCGAGTATCATAGCCTCTCCTTTTCCGTTGTTCATGCGTGGAACATGTGTTTTCCCCTCGGGCGTACTTGTTCCTGGGTGTTGCAACAGCTCTGGCATTCCGGCTTCCTTGAAGGCGCGGGCGAAGGTTGACTCACCTTGATGATGTACCATAACAGATCGACTTGCAACCTTTCCGAATTTGAGCAGCGACTCGCACTCCGCCTTGTAGTTTGTCTGGTTGCTGTTCGAGATGAAGATGACAGAACAATGATGTGGAATACCACGAAGAAGGCCTTCGAGAACTGTGATATCTTCATCCATGCAGGGAACTACGATTGCCAGATTGCGCTCGATGCTTTCGATTGAATCTGGAGTGATGACAATGTTCTCCTGATTGACAGAGGTGTTAGCCGTGCCATCACCCGATGTGTCTTGACCGCCTGCGTCCAGTTCCGAGACAGAAGACATCTCGCGTAGCTGCACGTTCCCGACCCGGGTGATTTCTGGGCGGATGCTCAATCTCATGATGAAGATAAGCTGATTATCGAAGTGGACTCAGTCTTGCAGCGGTTCTGATAATGGAGTAAGGGTGTATGAGGAATCAAAACGTGTATACTCACATAGGTCTTATAAAGAGATTCTTGCGGTCTGCTCGATGCTGCTCTTGACTGCATTGTTAGGCGCAATGATAGAACGTTTGACTCTATGTGATCGACGAACTATTCATAGCTATCAGTACAATCTTTCGTGCGGAGCTAATTGCAGTGTGAATCCGAGGAAGGCTAGGATTTGATAGCCGATGTCGGCGTATGTCAATGTTGCTAGACACGCTGTAGCAGAGGTGGGTCCAGGATAACGTTGCATTGTGTCGGGCTCTGCAGCGATTCGACCATCGAGTATATCGGGTACTGAGGGTGGCGGTGCTTGTTTGGCACTGACGCGTTGTTGACATTGTCAAGTGCCGCAATTGACAATCACAGTACTGGTGACCCTTCCTCATGAAAATGTCCCTTTACCGGGAAAATAGAGTGGATGAATTGGATCGGTTACGTTGCGGTGATGATGCATTGCATGTAGCCAGTGTATGAAACGATGGATGTCTTTCTCTCAAGCGAGTCTTTCCACGTCAAACACGACCGGCCGTGGTTGCTCTCGGAGGATACTTTGAACTGCGATCAATACCCCGAAGAGTTCTCGCAGTCCCTTTGAGTGCTCCTGTCTCTATAAATGTGTAGTCACGCGCCGTCGCGCCCTCCCACAATGGATGCGGCATGGTGGTGTCGTTTCGTCTGACGCGCTGTCGGTACCGTCGCGGCGCGCGCGTTGCTCAATGAGGCAGACAGATGACATCTCAACACTAGAACCTCATCCGGTCTTCTGCGAGGCTTGGGGCGACTGCATTGGGCGAGGGCTAGTGCTGGCGCGAGTGGTGGTGTTAGTGGAAGGCAGTTGCACCAGCGAAGTTTGTCCAGTGGAAGCTCGGCTATCCGCTGGAGCTCTGGCCTCGCCCGAACGCCTCCATGACGTCTGCAGCTGGTGACACCAGAAGCGCTATGCGGACCCGGAGACTGAGAGCTTTCCCCGCGTTTGCGATGCTTTTGTACTATTTCCTGCATCCTTCTTAAGTCGTCATTTCCCCGGATTTCCCTGCGATGGCTTCCAACGATAATCCCGACAAGATGAGCTACATCTACAACTCGCAGCTCGTGAGCGCCCCTGACATGTGAAGATGGACACTGGCTGACATTGAACGTTAGGATGCCTTCACCCTTTACCACATCTCGCACGAAAAGGAAGTACATAGCTCGGTCGGCCCTGTACTTCCTGCCCTCGGCCATGCTTCGTCTGGCGCTCTAGGAACCGTCGTTTCGAAACTCCTAACATACCCTCTCGACGTCGTTATTACGCGCCTTCAAGTTCAGCGACAGCTACATCACGGCGACGCGCACCCACACTACAATGGCTTTCTCGACGCCATCGAGAAGATATACGAGAGGGAGGGCGGACCAAAGGCCTTCTACAGCGGCGTAGTGCCCGAGGTTGTGAAGGGTGTCGCCGACAGCTTTCTGTTCTTCCTAGCGTATTCATATGCGCGACAGAAGAGGCTCGAAGCGCGAGGCACTGGACACAGCTTGCCGGCGCTCGAAGAGATTGGCGTTGGCGTCGTCGCAGGCGCCTTCTCCAAGTTCTTCACCACGCCCATCCAGCAGATTGTTACGCGGAAGCAGACGGCGGCGATGATGCGCCAGGAATCGTCGACCACCATACCTCCACTCTCCAGTACCAAGGACATAGCACATGAGATTATGCGCGAGAAGGGCATACAAGGCTTCTGGTCTGGCTACTCTGCCAGCTTGATCCTGACATTGAACCCTTCCATCACCATGCTTCTGCACAAGGCCCTCCTACGACTGGTTGTACCCAGGGCAAATCGAGACGACCCCGGCGCGCGCATGACGTTCCTTCTCGCCGCCATAAGCAAGGTCCTCGCCTCTACCGCTACCTACCCGTTCTCCCTCGCGAAGACGCGCGCCCAAGTGTCCTCACAGAAGCCCTCTTCCGGCATTGGTGAGACTTCCGACAAAGAGAAGTCAGACGAACCACTTGAGTCGAGAGCACTACAAGCTAGGCAGCGAACTGTGTTCAGCACCATCTTGCGCATCGCCCAGACTGAAGGAATCTGGGGCTTGTACCAGGGTCTTGGAGCGGAAGTGCTCAAAGGCTTTTTCTCTCATGGCATCACGATGTTGATGAAGGACCGCATTCATGCTGTCATCATCAGCCTGTACTACACTGTGCAGGGCGCGTTGAAGAAGTACCCCAGCCCAAGTGAAGTCGCACAGTCGGCATCAGACAGCGTTCAGGGCGCCTATGAACAAGGCAAAGAGCAGGCTAGCGATGCTTATGCGAAGGGCGCCGAAGTTGTCGGCAACGCAACAGAATCGGCAAAGCACGCCGTTTCACAGGGCTCACAGCAGGCGCAAGACCTTGTTGAAAAAGGCAGAGATGCTGTTAGCGAGGCCGCAAGCAGCGCCTACGACCAGGGCAAGAACGTGCTAGACAAAGGACAGGATGCTGCCACCAATGCCACTCAGCAAACTGGTGAAGCGCTTGAGCATGGCAAGAGGGCCGCAAGCGAGGCATCGCAGCAGGCCAAAGACGCTGTTCTGGACGCCGACATCAAGGACATCAATGGCCCTGACAAGGGTATCAAAGAGTGAGCCATGCAGCAGGTGATTTTCTCAACGCCTTCAGATTGTACATATACCCGATTGATTTTGTAGTTCTTTGTCCAAAGGCATGTCTGGATGGAGGATGTATTTTTTTTTGGTATGGTTCGGCGTCAAAAGCGTGCCTGACTTTCGTAATGCATAATGAGCGAATAATTGCCGGGTGAACTGTCCATCTACCTTGGGCGATCTGAAACGTCAGGGTGTCAGTATCCACTGCCACGCTTCGAGTAGCTGGTATGTCCATGTACCTAGGTACCGGACGCAAGCGTTCCAATGATATCGAGTCTGTGTCGAAAGTAACTGCAATGGAAATCGTGTTCACGCCAGAATAGTACCAGCGCGTGGACTGGAAGCAGGATTTTCCAGCCTTGCGGGCTTTGTTGTCTCTGCTGCGCTGGCTATTGTGGGGATGGCTGGTCACGGTACGTCGCATGTGTCATGCCGGTGGCTGGTTGCAGCGGTTGCCCTGGAGGCCAATGCGCTAACCACCTGGCTCCGCCCGCAGCGCCTCCATCATCAACAACCACGCCTGGCGACACATTCGACTGCATGCCGCAGTTGAGCGGCGACTAACTACTAATCTGCACAGGAACAGGGCAACTATTGTTTGCGCGACATTGCGAGCGCGAAGAACCGACTCGAAGTTTCCGATAGTCGGCGGCGCATGACTGGCGACACTCACAGCACGGCCATTCGACAAAAGCGGAATCGTCAACATCCCGGATACCAAGAGGGCAGCCGCAACCCACGCGCACACCACCAGCTGCGGCATTCTATGTCGTAGACGCCGGTGACGACATAGACCGCGACTGAGCTGCTGTGTGTTGACGTCTCGTCACTGCACCCCGCCCAGCTCATTCCCCTGATCACCGCACGCTGTTGGCAGTCGCAGCCCAACCCCCACCGCCATCATGACGACCACCGGAGCGCAGTCTTCGCCGAGCCGGGGAGGATGGAGCAGCATCGAGGAGGAGCTGGCTTACTACAAGTCTCAGTACGAGACGCTGGAGATGGAGCTGCAGGAGTTTCAGGCATCAAGCAAGGAACTGGAGGCCGAGCTCGAGCGCGACGTCGAGGAGAGCGAGAAGCGGGAGCGCAAGCTGCAGGAAAAGGCAGAGAAGCTGGGGTTCGAGGTTGAGGAGTGGAAGGTGCGTGGCCTCCGACACAGTCGGGGCGGATGTATGCCCAACAGACAGTCACTAACAAGACACCACAGACAAAGTACAAGCAGAGCAAGGCCGAGGCTAACAATGCGCAAAACACTCTCCAGAAGGAGATCACCACGATGCGCGAAAGCCAGCGCGCCCTCCAGATGCGACTCCGCGACATCGAAGTACAAAGCGACGATTTCGAGCGCCAGGCACGCCATCAGACATCATCACTCGAGGACGTGGAATCCAAGTACAACGTGGCTATCGAGCGCAGCGTCATGCTGGAAGAAGAGATCAAGATCGGAGAGCAGGAGCGAGAAGCACTGCGCATAGAAACACAGCGCCTTAGGGACGAACTGTCAGACCTGCGGGTAGAGGCGGAAATCACGCAGGAGAAGTTGCGCATCGCAGAGGAGACGATTGAGAACCACCACGTGCGTAAGGTATCCAACCATCTCTCGGGCGATGCCCTGAGGCCACGCTCGCCGGTCTCCGAGGCATCGACCACAGCAACCACCGTCTCCTCGCCCACAGCTGCTTCGACCCCACCACACTCGAAAGCAGATGGCCTACACACGGACGCGACTCCTCCTTCGCCACCGCTGTCCGACGCACCGATCACGACTAGATACGTACCCTCGACGCCCATGCCCAAGCGAAAGAACTCGTATGCGCCGCTGGACCCAGGTGCAACCCCTCGCGCCGGCTTGTACCAGCGAGTCCCAAGGCATTCACGAGGGCCCAGCATGTCAGCATCGCGACCAAGTACAAGTGCCAGTGGTCGGGCGACGCCCTCTATACGAACGACTGCACCCGCATCGCGAGCGCCTAGACCGAGCTTTGGAAGTGCTGCACCGCCGCCAAGCTTGCCTAGGTCAGGCTCGCTCGTTCAGGTTCGAGGGCTGATTGGTAAGATGCAGAAGCTCGAAGAACGGGTACACGCAGCGCGATCCAAGCTCCCTGCGCCAACTACGACCCCACCGCGAGCCAGCCCCCGAAACGGCAGTGCCATGGGACACCACGTGCCAAGCACTGTTACATTGAGGAGCGGCAGAAAGCGCAGCTCCCACGCATCAGCGGGCTCGTCAGTCCCTGGCGCCTACGAGTCGGGTGTAAGCCGGCTGTCATTCGGCATGTCGAC